ACTGGGATCCGGCACATGCAAGGTGAGAAATCTTTTTACCTCGTTTTCTGTAAAATTTTCTAGATATGAAAGTCGCTCCTAAGATTATCGAATCTAACTTAATTACATCTCCGAAGCAAACAACATTACACTAAACAATTGCTGTTTTTTTGCCCCAGGCAGAACATTTTTCATACATTTAAACACCGATATATATTCGTTTAATTTTTAATAATTCGTTTAACACCGATATATATTCGTTTTTCAAATTTGTCCAAGTTTTATTTTTTTGTTATTATAAATATTCATTTAAATTCAGTTTTTAGTAATAATGTATTAAAATAATTAGTTTGAAGCAGAATTGACTACGTCGCCCGGCGGCAAAGTAACTTTTTGCCGAAAGCGCGACTTTTTAGGGAGGTGGAAGCTGTTAGCGGCGGCCACCCAATCATTTGTTAGTGGCAGAATATTCTTCCTTCCGCCTCCAGTAGCTTTTGCCCTTCAACTGGCGGCCCCATCCAGAGTTAATTTTTTAAGCCAAACTGTTTTAGAGAGAGAAGCCATTAGGGAGGTGGAAGCCATTGAAAGCCGCCTCCAGAAAAAATTATGGTTTTGCCATCGGAAACAGCCTCTAAATATATATATATATATATATATATATATATATATATATATATATATATATATATATATATATATATATATATATATAATTATATATATATATATATATATATATATATATGCATATATATATATATGTATATATATATATATATATATATATATATATATATATATATATATATATATATATATATATATATATATATATATATATATATATATATATATATATATATATATATATATATATATATCATTTTATGTAGTGTTGTATTAAAATAATACACAACTCTTGTTCGTTGAAAAGTGCTCAATATTTAAGAAATTTATTTTGATTATATATAAATTTCATAACAGAGCAGTTTATGTTTAAAAACGAAAAAAGAAAAAACTTTTATTATGGAACTTTAAGTTTCATGCCTAACGGCAATCATCAGCCATATATTACAAAATTTAAAATAGACGTTAAAATTACAACTAAAATTACGGTGGCGTGAGTTCTAATGACTCAATGGAAACAAAACTTTAAGTTTTAAGAGTATCACGTGGCGTAAAAAGTAACGTAAACCAATCAGGATCAATCTGCGGTATCATAGGAGGAAATAAGAAATTTATTTTTGTGCCTACACTTCGAGATTATTTCACTCCTTGTGTTAAGTAGGTTTTTACCTTTATACATTAGAATTTGAAACTTCTCGTTCAGACAGAGGTTGCACACTCTTGATGTTGGGTTGTACGGTTTGCAATGTTTAACAATTTTCCATCTGACAAAAGGTGTAAAATTTTTTTCTTTTAATTTCCATATTTCTTTAAATAACTCTGTATCATTTTTATATCTAATTGAATTAAAAGATTTGAGTTGATTTGCGTATCGAACTTTAAAAGATGTCTCGCTGAGTCCAAAATACACTTTTTCTTTGTACCCTGGATTGTTTGAACAAACGGTGGCTTGATAAACAATGTTGTTAAGAAGACAATGGTTGCTCATTGGACATTCGGATTTATCAATGCAGTTGCATGTCTTTTCATTAACTTTTGCTTCCTCATGTAACGTGTTTTTATTGTGAAAGTTGATAATGGATTTTATGTTTGGCATGCAGGAATAAGTATTTTGATTGTGTTTGTATTAAATATTTGACGGAGTCTGTGGTTAACTGGAAAGTGGTGGTCGGTGAGGTTTAAAAAACATTTACCTATTTTTGTTACAACATTTGCCCTAAAAGGAGGATTATACCAAATTATTTTACGTTTATGGTTGTTGTTTGAAGATTTTATACTTGGATGGTATGCAAGTTCGCAAGTGTATCCAAATTTTTTCAGGGCTTCTTGATAAGGAGGAATACTTTCTTTAAAAATTGATTCACTTGACAATGCTGCTGATAATCTTAACTCAATGGTTTAGGAACACTTTTTATTATGCTTGGTGGGTGGTTAGAACTTGTATGTATGTAATTAGGTATATCATCTGCTTTGCGGTAGGGTTTAAATGAACCGTCTTTAAGGTTTAGCGTTAAATCCAAATAATTAACTATTTTCAAATTACTTTTAATGGATATTAAAAGATTGTTATTTTTGAAGATTTGTACAAAATTTTTTTTATCTTTTCCATTTCTTGACCACTTTTGTTTTTAAATATAGCTAATCCGTCATCTCGATATATACCTAAATTATTTTTATCATAAAACTGCGAGATTTGATGTATAATAAAAATACCAACTAATTCGCAATTCTCCGCGCCATCAAAGGCCCCCATAGTGACATCAAATAATCCTCCCTTTTTCCTAATCCAAGCAGTTCCATTGCTAAATAGTAACGATTTTCTTGCATGGTATATAAAACTGTTTTGCTCACTATTTACTATTAGATGTTGCTCTGCAAAGGATAACGCGTTTTTCAGCAGGTTTTCATTAATCGATGGATAAAAATCATTAATATCAAAGACTAAAAACTTACAGAATTGTTTTTATTTTATGGTTTCAAACCAGTGTATAATATTTTGAGTGTTTTGCAATTATTTCAAAAATTGTTTCTTTCTCAGGTCGGAATTAATGTTGGATAAAATAGATTTTGAAATTCTTCCAATCTCATTTTTCGCAGGATTAATAAGTCTAACAGTTGGTTTATCTAGGAAGTTTTCTTAGTGGACTTTTAGAGTTATGAAACAATTTTCAGTACCGTTAATTCCAATTTTATTGTATACATCATGGTTAATTAAAATTTTTTACCTTGTATGTTTATTTGATCTTTGAGTTTAGGGTCAGCCTTTTTATACGTAGAAGTAATTGCATTATTAAGGAGATGGTTGTACTGATCTTTAGATAATTTGTACATGTTTGATGTTTTGTCGGCTAGAGTTAAAGTTTTTTTTGAGGTTCGTATAGATTTTATATCGTTAGCTAATTTTTTTTGAAAAACATTGTTGATTTTTTGAAATTTGATGGTTTAAACAAGATTTATTAAATTATTTTCGTAAAAACACATTTCTTTAATTTGCGGAGGACATTTAGAAGAGTTAATACCGTAGTTTACGTAATCTTCAGAATTCTTTTCATCCGTCTGCTTGTTAATGAAAAAAAGCGCTTTCCACCTCATTTTTATAAGCGTATATATATATATATATATATATATATATATATATATATATATATATATATATATATATATATATATATATATATATATATATATATAAATATATATATATATATATATATATATATATATATATATATATATATATATATATATATATATATATATATATATATAAACTTTAAATATAAATACTTTTATAAATACTATTTATATTTTACTATATACTTATAAAAAGTTTAAAAATATAGATTCATTTACTTTTATACGTTTTATTCCCATTTAAGCGATTAAAGGTTTTAAATAATCAATAAATCATACAAAAATAAACTTTGATGTCAAATATTTAACATTTAATTTCAGTTCATATTTTATATGCTCCTTAACTTCAAGACATACGTGCAATTATTGTTCATTACATCTGGCAAATAGTTCCGCATCAGATTTGGCGGACGCAGCCAGTTGGGAGGCAGAAGCTAATGGAGGCGGCCTTCAAATAGTTTTGCCTCTAATATTTCTTATGAACGCTGCCACCATTGGCTTCCGCCTCTCTATTGGCGTCGGCCTCCAAAACATTTCGCCTCCAAACAAAAATGCGAGAATATTTACGTCGTTTATTAATACTGGATTGAAATGATTTTAAGAATTTTGTAAGTAAAAAATTGTTTCAATACCGTTTTTATGATTTCGATAATATTAAAAAGTTTTGATGCTAATAATAAAGATTCGAAATTAAAATATTTCTTCGGTGCCATTTTTAAAACTTCGATCGCATAAAAAAATTTTTAATACAAATTATAGAGACTCGAAAGTTATAAAGTGTTTCGGTGCCATTTATAGAATTTCGATAATCTAAGCATATTTCAATACAAAAAATTGAGTTTTAATAGTGAAAAATTGTTTCTGTAAATTTTCGATAACGGAAATATATTTCGATACAGTTTTCAAAGTTTCAAAAGCGAAAAATAATTTCGGAGCTATTTTTTCGGATTTCGTTACTAAAAAAATGTATTGATTGAGTATCGTGAAGTTCGTTTAGCGAAATTCACCTCGGTTCAAAATTAAGTAATTAGAAATCGTTTTAAACTTACTGAAACAAAATTAGAGTTTCAAAGAGTTTTTTTTTAATTGAAACATTTGCAAAAGTAAACAACCCTATAGCAATTTATACCGAAAAATTAAATTACATATAGTCGCAAATGTCTTTAATTTTCACACATTTGTGGAATATGCTAACACTATTATAAAAATAATTCTTTAGAATTGATTACAAAAGAATTCTTTTTATCTAAAGAATTCCTTTTATAATAGTGTCAGCATATTCCACAAATGTTAGAAAATGTACAGTAGTTAAGACTTCGTGACTTCCTGTCATTTAAATTTTTGGTATAAATTGAAGTTTTATGAATTTGATCATTCTTTTCTGATGAGTTTTTATTGATAAAATACAGCCTTAAAAATTGGTGAAATATGCTAATAATATAAAAAGAAATCTTTAGAATTAATTACTAAAGAATTCTTTTTATCTAAAGAATTCTTTGTCAGCATATTCTACAAATGAGTGAAAATTGACAGTAGTTAAGACATTTGCGACTTTCTGTACTTTAAGTTTTTGGTATCAATTGAAGTTTTATTAATTTGATCTTTTTTTTCTGATGAGTCTTTATTGATAAAAAACAGTGTTAAAAACTTTTGAAATATGCTGACACTATTATAAAAAGAAGACTTTAGAATTGATTACTAAAGAATTCTTTTTATCTAAAGAATTCTTTTTCAAATAGTGTGTGTGTGTGTGTGTTTGTGTGTGTGTATACTTTAAACATTTTTTGTATCATATATATATAAAGGTCAACCATGTTGATATTTACTCAACTTTTGATAATCTGGAAATTTTCCGAGATCAACACTTGTGGTGAAGAGACTATTGCTGATAAAAGTTATCCTGTAAATAATTGTCGTAGATTAAAGAAGGACGACAACATAAAAACTGCAGCCGAGGAACTTTTTAAATTGATGGATGAAAACCCATTAGTGTGTCCAAATGGTATGTCTAGCAGATTTTTAAAAATAGGGTTTTATTTTTAATGTTTGACTTGTTAACTTACTATAAGTATACTAACTATGTACTCCCCCTTTTCTATAAATTAGATCGGGTAAACGACTACAAAATGATGATCAAAAAGGTATGTTGCAGTTTTTTATTTATACCATTAACAAATATCATCATGTTCGTAAAAAAATTTTATCTATTTCGGAATTATTTTTAAAAGCATTACGATACGTGCAAACATATGAACAAAACAATTTTAAAATATTTGGATTTTTTATTCGGCTGTATTATAGCATTATGAACAATTAACGCAGGTCATGGTGCGGGTATGTGTCTAAACCTTCTCTTTTTTAATTATATTTGATCCTAAAAAACAATTTATGTCAAAACTTGATGGAAAGATGAAAAAATAAAATACATTAATTGATCTTCTTAATTAAAAAAAGAGTCATTAATAAACTTATAAAGTTTTTAAAGCTATTAAAGTTTATACAAATAAAATATATTTTTGGTCATTTTTTAATTTAAAGTTTTTAATTTTATAAAAAAGACTAGTAACCGGTTTATGGTTTTATTCTAAAACTACTTAAAATAAAACAAACATTGAAAATACTTAACAATAAATGATTGTAATTTAAGAAACAGTTAAATAAAAAAAATGTTTCATAGAAAAAGATATATTTCCATTTTTCAAAATAAGTTAGTACTTTGCCCAACACTAACCGACATCCATCAAATTACAATTGTAAAAACACATCAAATTAAAGCGCTTGCTACTCTACTTTAAAGAGCCTAGCTTTACACAGCTAAAAATGGTTGTTAGTAATAATAAATAAGATGTTTTTTTTTTATCAAAGTTTATGCATCTATAAAAATTAAAATTTTTTGTTTATGCAAAACCCAGTAAGCACAGATCATTTTTAAAACGTTTATAAAACGTTAAAAAACGTTTTTATAGGTTATTTAAACGTTTTAAAAACGTTCTGTGCTTACTGGAAAAGTATTGTATATGTACGTCTAGTCTTTTCTTTAGACGCTTCAATAAACTGTTCATTTTAAAAGTCTAGATAAATATTACTTTATTTACTTCAATACAGATAGTCTATAGATTTGCATAAAAAATAAGAACACAAATACTCTTGAATGATTTTGAATAAATATTGAACTTTGAATAGAGAAAGGCTATTCTATACAAGTATTGAATAGCCTAGACATACGAAGTATAAAATAGCATTGAAAGTAAAAGATTACAAAGTTAAAAGTTAAAATCAATAACACCATCAATATAATCATTCGATAAAAAACAAACTTAAAAGTTGTTTTAAATAGAATAAATCTACCGTGTAAACATTTTTAGATTAAAATATTTGTGTGACAGGTAAAATTGACATTCAGTATAAATCTTTTTCCAGAAAACTCTACTGACATTTTTTTTCTCAATTTTTTTTTTTTTTTTTAATTTTTCTATTCATCAAATGCTTTTTATATAATAATATTTTATATTGCAATATCAAAAATATTTTTTTAAATATAATATAACTATGTTTACTAAATTCTTAGACAATTTATATTTTTCTTGCAATTGTGGAGTTTTTGGAGCATGATCCCAGTAAGCACATGAACATTTTTTTAACTAAACAAAAAACGTTCAGAACGGCAATAACTAAAAAAAGTTTTTAAAAAAGCGTTTAAAAACGTTTGAAAAAAATTGTTTGAAATACGCTCTTAAAAAATCTATATTGAACCATAAAAAAACGTCTTTTAAACGTTTAAACGACGTTCTTTTTCAGAAAAGATTTCCAAACTCATAGGTACTATTTCCAAACTCATAGGTACTATTACTAAATTGTTTAAAAGAACATGTTTGTTAAAAAAACAAGAAAAGTAAAAATTTTCTTAAATTTTTTTTTAAATTTATTTTCTAAAACAATTTACAAACAAATTAACACCGTAACGATAATATCTGTTGGATTTATGGCACTTTAACAGGAGTAAAAGTTGCACGCTTTAAAGAAACAGTAATTATTGCATCGACAATCGACTCTGTGTATGATTCATGAGCAGTTGATGCACAAACTAAAAGGATAAACTTCATATTTAAAACAGACAATTTGAACAATAAAAAAAATCTTGTAGTATAATAATTATATAATAGTTTAATAACAATAATAAAAAAAAGTTTTTAAATTACATATTACAAATATATGTTTTAAAAATAGATATATAATTTCATAATACACTCAGATAAAATAAATTTTATATATATTTAAACATATATATATATATATATATATATATATATATATATATATATATATATATATATATATATATATATATATATATATATATATATATATATATATATATATATATATATATATATATATATATATATATATATATATATATATATATATATATATATATATATATATATATATATATATATATATTTATATATATATATATATATATTTATATATATATATATTTATATATATATATATATATATATATATATATATATATATATATATATATATATATATATATATATATATATATATTTATATATATATATATATATATATATTTATATATATATATATATATATATATATATATATATATATATATATATATATATATATATATTTGTGTATGTATATGTATGTGTTTGTATATATATATATATATATATATATATATATATATATACAAACACATACATATACATACACAAATATATATATATATATATATATATATATATATA